TGTTACTAAAAAACAGCTCATGTCTTTTTTAGGCATGGCTTCTTGTTGCAGGAATTTCATTTCAAACTACTCCTGTATGGAAGCCCCGTTAGGAGCTATTATACATGGAAAAGGCCTTCAGTCCAATGATAAAATCACGTGGACTCCTGAAGCAGAAACAGCCTTTACCCAGCTAAAATTAGCTTTGCAGAAGGCTCCAACTTTAGGCCTTCCAGACCCGAATAAGCCTTTTGTTCAGGCTGTTGATGAAAAGAATGGATGCATGACTTCTGTTCTTCTCCAAGATCATGGAGGGAAGCTCAGACCTGTGGCTTACTTTTCTGCTAAGCTAGATCCCATTGCTGGGGGTCTGCCTGGCGTGAGGGATTTCCGAAGGAAGCACTGGCGTTCCAAACGTTGGCTTGGCCCTTTCCAGGTGCTGCTGGTCACCCACACAGCAGTCAAAGTGGAGCAACGCGTTTCCTGGATCCATGCATCAAACTGCAGGAGAGTCCCAACTCCTCCAAACGTCCCACCGCAGGATTTCCCAGGATCAAAGGAGACATCCGGGTCACAGGAGGCCTGAGTTTCTTTTACAGAAAGAAAGGGGCATAATAATACCCTCTGATTTAATTGACACATCAGTAGGCTACCTGATGTGTTGAAGACCAGCTATTCTGCAGACAGGCCACCACAAGCTTTAAACTGTATGCTGGTCTGCTGGCGAGCTGTCCGAAGAGGTGGTGAAGATTGTTTATTCTATTTCCCTTGAAGGAGTCATTCACTGCCTGCATTTTACTTCATAACACCCCTCAATTGAAGGCTATTGAGAGGCGTAGAAGAGGAGCTTTCTGATTGGAGTGCTTTGTTTTCCCAAGGGAATTAATCTTGCTATTGCTTTGTTGCGCATTATATTATCCCTTATCTTCTAAAAAAATTAATTAATTAAAAAAATTAAAAAAAATAAAAAACAAGGGAGGAAGAGGAGTTTTCCTGGACGACGGAAATGATTCCCTACAAGAGAATTGAAACAATGAAGATGTACAGAAGAGGAAAAAAGACAATTGCTTGTCTCTTTGTGATTCCATGTGTTCTGTTTCTGTTGTGGATGTTTTTTCGACCTTTTTTACCTTTCAGATCAAAATGTAACTGATGATATGACAGGAGTTCAAAATGGTACAAATACTACTGATGTCAATGCTACTGTGCCCACTCTAAATGTTTCTATTAGGGGTAAAAGAGATGTTACTTCCCAAGGTTTCGTGAAACGACGTCCCATAGCAGGAGTGGATCAGGTAATCATACAGGTACCCAGAAACACCACTGTGGCAGCAGAATTTGATCTGTGTGATGTGATTCCATGTAAGGGGTTTGATGCAAGATACAAAAAGGCTGAGGTATATATCTGTACTTTCCCACATGGTAAGCCTACATCTGAATCATGGTGTCCAGATTGGTCTTTTGTTTACTGGAATTCTAATCCTAGAGGTTATGTTAATCCCAGCAACCAGTATATTCCTTTAGGTTTAAGAGATAAGATAAGTTTAGTTAGAGCTAAAAGAACCAAGGAAACTTACAAACGAGGAGGAAATCCTTTAGTGTTGACGGTTAAAACATGTGGGTTAATCCATGGTCAGCTGCTGACCACAGGGACTTAGATCATGTTCACTTAATTTCAGGTGTTAATGTCTTTGGTAAGGACCCGATAGGAGTGTTTAAAACTCAGTTTGAAGACCCAGCTCCAGCCTTACGATCTGATTCTGATGCTACTGTGGATAGCTTCCTTCCAGGTACAGACACACCTGACCCACTGGTAACCTATTTAAACCTCTCTTCCTCAGATGCAATGATGCAGGTGGAAACAGGTTTTACAGAGAAAAACACTTGGCTTGAATGGATTACATTTACTGCCAAGAGCAATAACATGACAGACTGCATTGCATGTTCCACAGCTAGACCGACGCTTTTCACTTCCCCTGCTCCTCTGTTATATGAGACAGACCGTCCTGGGTTTGATTGTATGTTAGCTTTACACATGAATCCATCACCCCCTGAGTGTCCAACCTTAAATGCTCTTTTTCCCCCAGCTAGCAACTCCACCATTAGGTCTCATGTCTGATGATCAGACCGTAATCAGATATTTCGAAATAATGCTAACCAATCAGGAGTATTGTTATACTTTGATTTAACAGCTGATTCAGAATGGGTGGAAATATTATTTTCTTGATGTGCGAAGCTGATAGAGACATACCCTAAAGACAGCTGTAATTAAATTAAAAGCTGGTTAATTTAAACATAAGAAGGGAAAAGAATTTGTTAAGCAGTTTATCAACATTTTAATCACAAATCATAGTTGTCTTAGCGTATCAGCTGTAGAGCCAAGCTCATGTTTTACACTTCAACAGTGACAATCAGTTATACATTGTTTTTTTCTTTTTTTTAATAACTCACTATCTCTTTATGGTAGAAATCACCTGAAAAATCTCTTTATAAAGCATGTCAAAACCGTTGATGAATTCTCCACAGTGAACTATATCCTGTAAACAATAGCTACCAGTAACATTGTAAAATACATTCAAATTTCATCATCCAAAACAACAAAATAGTGAGTTTTTCTTAACTAGATTGCAATCCAGATTGCTCTTAGTACCAGTACTTTTCAAGACATAGACAGTCTTACAATCACTCAGGGCTTTAACTTCTTCCTCTACAAACTTGAACTCCTCATATGGTGGTATGAGCACTTCTTCCTCTTCAGGATGAGCTGAATACTTTATTATGTCGGCACCATAGTTGGTTGTAATTTTAAAGCATGTTTCATTCCCATAGTCTTTAAAATCTGGATTCAGAGAGCTGGATGTAAAGCTGCCAAGTCGAATTTTCTCTTCTTTTTTTTCAAAGGTACTTGTGGTTCTTCTATAAGTTATATAGTTTTTATTTTTGTCATCTTTTTTTAATTTCTGTATAGCCGATGCAAGTAAGAAATGTAAAGTGTGGTACTCAAATGAGTCGCCATATTCACTTTTACCTGTCCTAGTTGCAATGTTAAACTTGCGATAAACTCCATTTTCATTTTTAGTGTAGACACGAAGAGCTGTCAGTTCATCCGGAGTCAGAAATGGATGATATTTAATAATTTGTTTTTTTTCATTTTCCCAGTCATAATCCTTCTGTTTCAGTTCTTTACTAAACTCTTTGATCTTTTCTGTCATCTCGTCTTTGCAATCACTGTACATGTCATCAACTGAGTTTTTGTAGAATTCTAATGGGTATGGGCCAGACTTCTGCAAAAGAAGAAAAAAAAAAAACATTTAAGACAAGCCGTGTCATGTTATTTGTTCATTTTTCCCAAACACAAATACAACTTAATCAAATTTTCAAACAATAGCCAGCAGTCACCAGTTTTGTAAAACATCTTAAAGCAAAAGTGAGGGAGATCAGTAAGGGTTAAAGCTATGCAGTGTTGGTGTTCACCTTAGACAGTGAGCACATTGAGAGCTTGCAAATTCCAATATAAAAGGGATTCATTAAAAAATAGTGAAATACATTTCAAGCATTTATTCCTGTTATTTTTATGATTATGACTCGCACCAAGTAAATATCAAATTAGCTTCTCTGATAAAAAAAAAATAAAGGTAAAGAAAGTGAAGACAAAGGACAGACAATAGCAGAAGGGAAACTTCATGAGAAAATAATTGTCCAACATAAACAGTGGAGCAAAAAAAAAAAAATGACAACACATTGAAAGACCGCTTGCAAACACCTGTTACCAGGACCCTGTATCAGAAGAGACAATGAGGCCCTTATATGTCTAGGGTTTATAGGACTATTTACTGGCCTAGGCAGTGAGAAGTGGTTGAAGTTTTTTTTCTTTTTTTTTTTTCTGTCATTTTGTTTTGTTTTTAGGCTTAAAGGGGATCACTATTCGTCAGTTCTCCTCAAGTCCTGTCATCAGTAAAGTTTATTAAATATTTTAATTGCTTTTCTTTGCTACGCTGTGGGGCTCCAAACCTTTTTATTTTTCATTTCTCCCAAAGAGGATGTGTTCTACTTTCTGCCACACCTTTGAAAATACAGCTGAATTGCTGCATAGTCCCAAATCGGCTCAAGATTCAAGATTTTGGGTTTCAAAACAGGTGAAATGATAATAGTCAGCTTGCAAATTAAACTTAAATTATAATGGCTTATGAGCATTATAAAAACATTTCAAACAGAAAGCTACTGTTCCTGGAAATTAACGGATATGCGTGTAAGAGGCCAGTCAGCGCGTGAAATGGAGAATTAAATTTACATTAGAACAGCAGGCAGGCAGCTGCCTCGCGCGCCATCTGCTGGACAGGGCGCAAAATTGCAGAATGGAGAAAAAAAATGATTGTAGGATGAATGATACACACACAGACCTACATTTATTTATTTTTTTAGACATTGTATTTTAAGCATTCTCAGGCTACTTATCTTTCAAATTGAAATGTATTCTTTGGAATTTTTCCTTTTAAAATTGTTGTCTTAACGTTGATATTTAAGTTTTGCTTTTTATTGTACAGCTTTATGTTGCTTTTGCACCCATCACATTTACATGCGATATTAACTTGTTGATTATTGTAATATTGTAATTATATCAATTATATCTATAAATATTCTTCAGGTTACTGACTTTAAAAATGTTGTTTTTTCACACTTAATAATAGTAATAAT